TCCGTTCGTTAAAATAAATAAAAAATAAAAAATGAGGGGTACAGGGACTCCCCGCAATTAGCAAAACACTATCCCGACTATTTTATTTTATTTTTGGAACGGCACGCGCTATTTAACAAAATCAAGGTAATTTTGTTGATTTTGTTGGATATAGATCACGTCTGTAACTTTTCCATCTGAAAACAGGTTCATCAGTCGTGGAATTATCGTCCGACGACCAGATATGGGCTATCAACGTTGCTTGTTTTCCGATTCAACATATTTTTAAAGTGTTTTTTAAATTATTATAGGAGAAATTATTAAATAAATATTTTTTGGTATTTTTTTATATATATAGTGATGTTAAAATAAAATATAAAAAAATTATTTTAATATATTTTTAATTAAAAAATATTTTTATAAAAACATTCTAGAAAACATTACTATATACACACTTAAAAGGCTTTCTGTTTTTTAAATAACACTAAGTATGTTTGGTATTGTGATAATTTTTGTAGTTATAATTTTAAAAAATTATTTAATAAAAAATATTTTTAGTTAAGGTTGGTATAATATTTATATATGTTTGGTTAAAATTGAAGTTGGATAAAAAATAATTTAATGTGTTTGGTTAATAATTTTTTTTAAATTGAAGTTATAAAATAAGAAATATATATATATATATATATATATATATATGTTTTTAAATTTAAATATTATAAAATAAATTATTACTATTACATCATGAAATAAATAGTATTATTAAACCATCTATAATTTCATTACTTATAAAATTCATCCGATAAGAATTACAGTTTCTATAATTTTTTGAACGTGTAATAAAATTAGATAAAATATTATCAAGTATAAAATTGATATTATAGTGCAAGTGAATTTAATTCACTCTACATTAATTTTTTTTAAAAAAATTACTTCTATCACAGTGTGAGTGAATTTAATTCACTTTAAACTAGTTTTTAAAATAAAACTATTAAAAAAATTTAACGTGAACAATAAAAGTGAATTGTACTATTCATCAAATGAGTAGTGCAATTCACTAGCATTGTTCATTTGATCTTTTTTAAATGAACAATGCAATTCACTCGCATTGTTCACGGGTGAATTATACTATTCATTATTTTAAGTGAACAATATAATTTATTTCTATTGTTTACTAAAATATTGTTTGAAGAAAAGCAATTTAGAGCTGCTTCGGTGAAATTGTATTTCAAACATAAATTATAATGATCTTATAAAAAATAAATTATATTTTTTTATGTAATTAAATATTTATTTTATTGAGGTTATTTTAAATATAGAAATAACCAAATAAACAGACAACAAAATAAACTTTTTATGATATGTGAAATTAGTTGTAAGCATGTAAGTTAGGTTTTAGGTTTGGATTTGAATATATCTAAACAAATAAATTTATCATCGAATAAGGGATTCTCTACTATTTAAACCGGTAATAATAAAATAAAAATTATATTAAAAAATTATATATTAAAAATACAATGTAGTCTTATAATGTAATAAAAAGTGAGTAAGTTTTATATCATAAGAGGCTTTTATTATATTTATTTAATGAGTTAAGATATTTATAAATTTTATTCACATCAGCGTTTTTTTTTAAATTTGGAGATGTTTTCCAATTAATCTATTTAAATATTGGTGTCAACTACTCTACATAAAGTTTGCACGGGCCAATAATATGTAAGAAAACATGTAACTTTTTTTTCTAAAAAATATTGTGTACGTGGCCACATTCTTACTCTTCAGAGCTCAAAAAAGTGTACCGGAGACGTGAGGAAGAAAGGGAAGAAAAAACAAAAATGGGGTGCCTTTAAGCCGGACCAAAATCCATTCCTGAACGTGGCCACCTTCTTACTCTTCAGAGCTCAAGAAAGTGTGCCGGAGACGTGAGGAAGAAAGGGAAGAAAAAACAAAAATGGGGTGCCTTTAAGCCGGACCAAAAACTATTCCTGATTGGGCCGGGACCCAAGCTGCGTTGGTGCTGCGAAAGGTTGTTGTCGTTACAAATGTTGCCGTTTGGGCCGCGTTGCCCAAAAAACTGGGCTCTTATTTTGTTTGTTTGCATAGGTGCTGCACCTCACACGGTTCAAACATGTAGCCCAAACTGCAATAAATTAATTTAATTAGTTAATTTATTTTTGTTTTTTTAGTTTGAATCTTCTTCCTCGTCTATGTCGGGTGTCGAATGCATCCTTGTGTGGCCGTACGTTCTCTTTCAATATTTTTCTTGCCTGTCTGCACCAAGGTAGTTTACGTGCCAGGAAACTTGGTTACTGTACTTGTCGTTTTCATTTTTTTAATGATAAAAACATCATTAAAATAATTCTCACGCCAATTAATATTAAATCTTTCTCAACGATTAATTAAGTGGGTTTTGATAAAAAAAACAGTTAGTGGGCTAGAATATTCCCTTTCCTTGTTTTTTTTTTTTTTTTTTCCTGGTTAACTCTGGAGGCAGCTTTCCGTGCCGTCCCATATTAGTGAAATATTCCCGCCCCCGTCATCTTCCATCGCATTGAGAGCTTAGCTAGTGACCTTTACTTTAGAAGCTGCAGACAAGAGCAATCCTCTTGAACCATGAGTCTTGACTTCCTCTACTCCTCTTCTTGTCCGCCATTGTCTTCTACTTCTTAAACTTCCGTCTTGTTTGCTGCTCTTAAAATATTCTTTCAAAGCCCTTCTTGAACTTTCATTTTGTTTACTACTCTTAAAATATTCTTTCAAAGCCCTTCTTGCCCATTGCTACGGCTTACACATTAATTGTTAAATCATATTGGATACTCTTTGTGACATTAATTTGTGAGTTTGGAAACTCTTTTTTTTTCAACAAGCTCTTTCATTACCAATATGATCAATGCGTCTTCTGTTCATATCAAGGATTCTCATTTGTGCTTTTATAGTTCCGTGGTTTGACTGTTACGTGCATTCTGTGATCATTTGAACAACAGCCAATAAAGTGAGATGATGAATGTTCATTACGTTCAAATTATACAAAATATTTTTAATGTTTAGATAATTAAAAAAGATAAATTGAAACAGGTATGGGTTATCTTTATAATGGGATTGGACGGAGTAAAGTTTCAACTCTCTGCCATCGAAAATGGGCAGCTAGTAATGGCGCTCCCGCTTAGGTTAACCGCACTCCAATTCTCTCTTCTTTCTCATAAACTGACCAATGTACCCTTCAAACTGCTTGCTGTTCCCTTTTCTGTCTTTGCAAAATGGAGGCGTGCACTTAAAAAGGATAAAAAACAAAAGCTTCCACAACACCTTTTCCTTCCCCTCATGATCTGATTTGACATCGTGTTTGTACTTGATTTTTCGATTTAGCAATGGTATGTAAAGAAAAGAAAATATAGGGTAATTTCGTTGATATATCAGAGATGGTTTTGTGATTTCTCATTCAATGATTTTGTTATTAGAGTATTTATATGGATGAAAAATGAGGAGACATGTTGATATTTTGTATTTTGAATTTGTGTACAGGAATGTGAAATGTATTTTGGTAAAGATGAGGTTGATTTGGAGACGACCACCTGCCGTTAGTTGTTTTTGATGGACAAAACAGCAGTTGGACTTGAATTGCACATGATTTTTTCTTTTATCTCTTTGTAATAATATTAACGAAAGATTAATTTCTATTTTAACTTCATTTTACTCTAATTTATTTTCTTTTAACCTCAACCATTTTTCTTCTTTAATATTTCCTGGGCAAGCTTGCAAACAAATGATTGGCATGTTGTTAATAGTGTAATTGACGCAAATAATTATTATTATTATTTTTTTTTATTTAACAGTGTAATTGACGCAAACAACTATTTTATTATAATTGTTTCTTGTACCAAACATGGGAAAATAAGATGAAAACTTTCATGAGTGATTTTTCACTTTCTTTTCTCTCATACCAAACATGGAAAAAAATAATCATAATTGTTTCTTTCCTTATATATATATATATATATATATATATATTTGTCTCATTTTTTTATGTATTTCATTTGATCATTGTTTATAAGGAATTGTAAATATGGAATAAATTAAACATGCATCCAATTTTTTTCTTCTTTAACATTTATATATCTAGAAATCATTGAAGTCAAGTTTTAAAAATATATTAAAGGCTACAATTCACAATAATAAAACAGATGATTTTTTCATGAATTTAGACGGTCCGCTGCACCCTAATATTTATTAAAAAAAAAAAAACCCAGATTTTGGTGGGTGGCAATTGGATTTTAACCCGTGCACCGACAGGAACTTTTTCAGAGCACGCAAGTACATGGAAGGAGTCATTTTCGTATACTTGTATTCTATTTCCATAGACATCCTAATTTATGGTTATAGTAGCGACTGCGCGTGCAGCATGTTCAGAGAAGTTTGGCCCCACATCAGCACACCAGTATCCTCTGATGTCTTCACTTACTCTCACAAATTATTCTTTTAGCTAGGTAGATCCTTCATCATGTCTCGTATACTTTACATAAATGAGTAAGAGTTCTTGTCCTCATCTCCCTCGCCATACACCAACTCGCATGACAAGCGGAAAGTTGGAATATTCTACTTTCTGTTTTGATAATTAGTTTATCCTGCATTACATCACTAACAGTAATGATATTGCTACATCTATCTCTAAGTTTGTGATTGGATCATCATTCATCCATGCATAAATTGTTTAACCAATTAATTTTGACAGATGATACAAAAACTTCATTACATTCAGATATGCAGTCCCTTTTAGAAATGGATGCTCTATCTTCTTGAAATCCCTCAAACGAATATCTTGTTTGAGTATTGATCGACATTGGAGACATGCTTGAGATATGATCCATGCATGTATATTTATGTTTGGAAACATAATAATGGCGGATGTCTAAGCTCCAGCTAGCATTCTACAGATGCATGACATGCAATTTTGAACAAAAGTTGAAGAACTAAACTTGTCATATAATATATCTGAGGAGAAGATCAAAATACGCCACTCCACATTCATCGCATAATTACTTAGAGTTACCATGATACCACATTCATGGTTTCTCTTTCAATTATATAAATGCAAATATAATATGGAAATCACTTTACATATGAATCTAGCAGCTCAACAATAATCCATTTTATTATTCAGGTTGGATCTAGGAATGCCCTCCATCAGGCAAGAAACTGGAGGAATAGTTAGAGTTCGGAAATTCCCATATGCATTCCAACAATATGGATCCAGTACTAAATCTCCTTCAGCAGGAAGAAGCTCAATATCTGACAGTGTTAAGTTGGTACATGGTACCGAGTCACTGCAGGCGAAATGCATTGGTGGGCTTCGAATATTGTAAGTTCCTTTTATGTTTTCGTAGAGAATGTCTGATACTGAAAGAGCAGATGTTTGGTTGGTGCACCCCTTGCTGAGGCAGTAGAATTGGTCAATTATTATCGGATTCCTGACATTGTCCATGTGAATATTACTGAATGTTATTCCTGATACCGCTCCTGATCCACCTTGCCATGTCTTAATCCTAACTCCATTATCCGAGACTCTAATCACCGAATCCCTGACTGTGATATTGGAAACACAGGCTCGGGAATTGTGATTTCCTAGACTCCCGATGCTGTTTTAAATTCGATGAAAGGAAGAATTTGTAAGAGATTAGCTTAGAAGTCCAAAAAAAAATGTGATAGAAAAAATTCTAAGAAAAGAATCCTATATATAGAAAACCAGTAACATTCTGTACATACCTGATTCCATGACTCGGTCCACATGTAATGTTCCTTATGTCCACATCATAACAGCCTGACCCGATTGATACACAATCATCGCCTATATGAACAGGTAAATATCAGACAACGTGATGTTAGTGAGCTTTTGAGGGAAGCTAGTAATGGATAAGGAGAAATATTTTTATGTCCTGCACTAACCATTAGAGATCACTGAATTATATATTTCCACACCATTGGTGTTCTCTATGTGAATTCCATCTGTGTTGGGACTTAAAGCAGGAGCAGTAATGTGAATTGATTCTACATGAACATTCTTGCAGTTGTCAAATCTGAAGTTGAACTGCGGGCTATTCTTGATTTTAAGTCCTTGCACGGTTAGGTTTGAGCTCATGAAGAACCTTATGGCCTGCATCACAAATGTTATGTTAAGCTGAATCGATCCAAAAGTTAATTTGCAATGAGCATGAAAATAGAAGTTGTGAGTGTAGATGACTAACAATTGGACTATCACATGGTCCAGGCATTGTTGTTCCATTTATTCCCTGTGCCATATATGAAAAGGATCAGTAATACAAGTCAACCCTAATTTTTCCAGGTTGCAATAAAGTAGAATTTCAGCAATACCTTGTGGGGTTTACAAGGAAGATCCCACCATTTCTCTCCTCTGCCATCTATTACACCACCTCCTAGAAGTGACATTTCGTTTATTCTGTAAAATACAAGCCATTGACGCCTGCTGTTGTTATGTGGCCAAGAATCAGGTCCGTCAGGTGGCATAAGAGTCCCATCAACCTTCTCATTGAACAAAACGTAACCAATTATCAGAATGAGTAAGTCCTTACAAACCTCAAGAGGCACAAAAAACAACATGACAGGACTGACAAAGCATGTTACCTGAAACACAAGACCACCTTGACAAGGACCAGTAAAAATTGTAGATTGGATCATGAATTGGAAACCATAAGGAACAAGGATGACAGGAGAATCATCTTGGTTGCAGGCTGCGTCCCATGCCATCTTGAACGCGTCCGTATCATCTGTTACGCCGTCACCAATAGCCCCAAAACTTCGTACATCAAAAACTCCAGTAGAGTTGCCACTCCCACCAGATGGATTAGCAGGCACGGATGGATGAGAAGCAGGTTCAGGTGGAGGAGCTGGAGGTTCTGAAATGGTTGATGATTTGTGAAGATGACTATGCTTGTGGTGTTTTGTATGGTAATGCCACCTAGCTTGGATGCCAAGGAAGAGGCAAGTGAAAGAAATCCCAAATACAAGTAACGAGACGCGAGAATGCTTCATTTTAAGCTCAACTTGGCTGGTTCTTAAATAGTGGAAACAAGAAAATTCTCTTCTAGAGAAAGTCTTTCCACTTGTTGGAACTAAAAAGAAAACCTGATCGAATTGCTTTTGCACTATGAATTATCTGAAACAAGATCTAAAGAATGCGCCTAAGTTGTGGGAAGTTGAAACAAGCCAGTGGCTTGTACAAGAGACTGTGAGCACCAGAGCAACTTGCCAAAGATTAACTATGTTTGTCTTTGGAATGTATGAAGAATCAGAAAGGCCTGATTCCACATTTATAATAACAGTGGATAGTGGAAAGGACTTTGAGAAATGTTAGTTTGCACCATACACCTTTTTTAATGGTTTTGGTGGCGGGAACATACCGGATTCCTTGTAGGCATTTCTTTTTTATTTTGTAGAGAATGTGGAGCCTGCAGATGACTGTTCTGGAGAAAGGTAAAAGGAAGCAAGAGCCGAATAAGCCCCCCACGTTCCTCCCATAACTTCCACTTTCATCAGTTATTTCAACAATGTCACATATTATAATGCCCATAAGCTTGACAACATATCTATTTGAGAGGATCGAAATTGATTTTTGTGACTGGCCCTGAAATTTGTAAAATCTCTATCTAGATTTCAGCGTTGTTTAAATTAAGCAGTGTTACGATTGAAGCTACAGTTGAAAGCACTTGGTTTTGAGCTCGTGTAACGCAGCCAGCACCATGAAAATTGAGATTGAGACGAAAACTGCCTGAGAAAAGTCCTGGACTCCGTAGTAATCTCACAACAAGAGAGAAGAATATAAATATTATTCTAAATATAAGAGAAGCTATCTGAATTAGATAGCAAGCCGGGCCTATATAGCTAGGACTAGAAAAATTATCAAATATGATAAATTCTGATTATTCAATAAAATAAAAATAAAGTCTAAAACAAGTCGGAACAAACTAAGCAAAAACCACTTAATAAAGTTCTGGAAATTATAGCAAAAAAACTCAGAACTAAAGAAATAGAGACCTAAATGATGGAATCTAGGGTTCGAAACAATCCTCAACAAGTATAGCTCTTAATTTTCTTGCAAGAACTATTAAGGTAGTCTAGTGCTATAACTTCTTATCTGACGACTCAACTCCTCTAAAATCTCTTGCATTAATTTACCCATTCCGGAAAAAATTCAAAGAACTCTCCTTCATGCAGAGGCACGACTCTTAAGTCTAATGTCTATTAACTTCACCTTCATGTTTTTCATGACCTACTTATACATTCACTCTACCATATGCAATCAGTTGATCAATCTTAATCTTTCAACCTAGATGGTGCTTGCAAATTCAAGTAGCTCCACTAAAAAAATCTAAACCTTCATGGCATTCATCCTGAATTTGAGTTTTTATTATTATTAATGTAGATGTTTAGATTAGTTTGTATATATATTTAATTAATTTTACGAGTTCTGATATTAATAATCATATAAGATTTCAATAATTTTAAAATTTATGAAATTTAATTAAAAAAAATTTAAAAAATAAATTTAGAAATTGATTAATTAAGTTTTCTTTCTTTGATAACACTCGTTATACAAGTTTTTTTAAAATGGATGTGGATTCACGATGATATACTCAATTGCCTTTTCGTACATATCCTCAATTATCAATTTATTAACATTATACTCTTTAAGGGGAACTTCCTCGTTCAGAAATCATCCTCCTCTGCCACGATCATGTCCTCTATGAGGTTCCATGGAAATCAAAGATTAAATAAAACAAAACAACTGGAAAGTTCAATTCAGATATCAACTAGCTAGTTGGAACTATGAAAATTGAGATTAAAGAAAAATCTGGAAGGGATTGGAATGAAAAGGACTTGAGAAAAAACCTAGACAACGTAGATAATCTGACAATAGGAGAGAAAAGCCTGAATATAATATTTTGAGTATCAAAAACATATGAATATTGGTTCCATAAGTTAGGCTTAAATAACTATAGTTGAAAAAATTACCAAATATGATAAATTCTGATTTATTCAATAAAGTAAAATAAAATTATAAAACAAGTTAGAAAAATTTAAGTAACAATTAAAAAAAAATCAACACAAAATAAAGTTCCGAAAAGTTAACAAAAATAGCAAAAAAAAGAAAAAAAGAAAAATAGAGACCTAAAAGATGGAATTTGGGGCTCGAAACAGCCCCCAACAAGCGTAGCTCTTTGCCTGCGACGTGTGCCTTGCTTGGTACAGGGTTTTTGAATTGCAATGATTCGCGTCATTTTGACACCCGTAACAAGAGTCATGGCCAAAATACTGTAGGGTGTGCAAAAACATTCCCAAATCAAGCTTGAACTATTGTTTTCTGCCATGCTTGTGTTGGTTTTCCCTGTCAATATAGTCCAGCTTTATCAACTCCGTATCCGATAGCTAAACTCTTCCTTAATCTCTTGCATCATTAAGTACACTTAACACAGCTGATCAAAAGCCACATGCCCTCGGGGTTGCAGATAATTTATATTTGGTTTCCCATGATGATGGAAAAACCCTTCTTTATGGGCAATCAGATTACAATGAATTACTTGCAATATTGCATATTCGCCTGGCTGTTGAGCTGTATATGCATCGTGTTTAATATGATTACTAGCAATCAAGCAAATGCTTAACCCAATATTATGTTTAACTAATTACCCATTGAAACATGGCAGATGCTAGCTGGTCGTCAAGGTTTTTTTATCACGTAATGTAGCATATCTTAGGAGAAATTTTATCCCAGAAAAGAAAAATAGCCCGACTGTCGTGTAAGCAATGAAATTGATGGGTAAAAGAACTAATATAGGTGAGTAACATCGCTCATCAGGTGACCATCAGGTTTTGATTGAAATAGCTTTAAAAACTTGCTATCACTTCAACAGCATTTGTATGATTCGACAAAAAAGAGGCAGAGACCTACTTTTCGAAAGTGGGCCGCTTTAAGAACTGGACGGTGAATGCCTGCCTAAAATTTAGTTATATTTCCTTGTAGTGGGAACTTCACTTAGAGCTTTGGTAAGGTTTGTTGAATCTTATTTTATAACCGACCATATCAATGCAAACCATGTCTAGTCATGGTTTCTCCATCGCTCCTTTCGGCGATATGGCCAATGACGTTCAATCTGATGTTCCCATTCTGCGATTGGGATCTGATCGCTTTCACTGTAAGATTGGATATCACTTGAGGAGTTTCAGTCTTCCCAGAAAAGAATTCAAGATGATGCATATATGCTGGCTGCATGTTATCTGTAGAGAAGAACAATTTTACAATTTTCAGAAGCATTTCTGCTAGTGATATTCTATGAAATAACATTTTCTGTAAGTTAGTCAAAGCAGAACAGAACAGCACATTAATTCAATTTCAAAGCCATAATCAATGACATGTCCATAAGGGAATTAAGCTTTTTATTTCGATCAAGACTAGCAAATAATGGAGGAATTTCCGATCTCAGGTGCTTTTTCTATGCTTTCTAGCCGTGCTTATAATTCTTTATGTATGCCTGTTGCTGATATAGAGATCAAAGATGCTCTTTTCTTACATCGGTCCAGGGTCCGTATAAAGCTTTTGGTATAGATGGCTTGAATGCTGTTTTTGTTAGGTGGTGGTCTTGAGCATATTTCTTCGTCAAAAGCTAGCTTCTTATAAATTCCCTCGCCAGCCTCTTCCACTACTGATGTCGGATAACTGCAGCAATCTCCCCCCTCACACATCTGGCTTTAGGTTGAAGCCACAACAACCAGTTTTTTACTCTGATTGTCGGGTCCAGACTTGCTAGCATACATGAGCTCTGATAGCAATTGTTTGGTGGTCTTGATCCTATTTCTCTCAAAAACTAGCTTGTGAGGTGACTCCCACCTCAAACACAGGGTTTCTGTGTCTAGCAATTAGATTTTTAATGCAAAGATTAGCCCGGATCACCACTATACCTTACGATTCTGCGCTTAGAAGAATTTTCAATCTACAGAATGTTTTGTGCGACAGAATCCCAAACATTTCAATTTATAAGCTGGACGACTTCATATCTCCTCTTCAAAAATTGTACTGTCTGGATTCCTGGTGATCAATAAGACGAAGTCAGCACCAATGCAGCGGATCTTATCAATAAATATTTCATTCATCTTGTGCAAAGAATAGATTTAGTCCTCGAAAGATTACTCAAGCTTCCTAAAGGCACAAGCATGCAAGGAAGGAAGGACGGAAATGGAATGGACACTGTAGATTGCTAAAAATACATCTCCCCTGTTATATCTTGAGGTTATTTTAATGATTTCCCGAACCACTGAACCTGAAATGGAAAGCAGACTAGGATATCAAGTTCCCTTTTCACAAAATCCATATTGATGTCCCATTATTCTTTATGAGCAGAATTGATAGGGCGGTTCCAGCATAACTTCCAGTCCACGCATGACTAAAAAGCGTTGTTGTTCGGAACAAAAAGTCTATGATGCTGCTTACCTTTGAAATTTGGGACCCAACAAATTCCATATGCCTAACATGCAAGGACTACAATTTTCAACACCATATACAGGGTTTTCATTTGATTTTCACTTTCTCAACTTAAATGCACTCTTCACCATCCTTGTAGCATTTCATAGAATAAATCCTGTACGAAGCCACAATCGTGTAAGAATGATAGAACAAGCAGCGTTGCATGATCTGGTTTGCATCTAAAATACGTTCAGACATCCATGAATCGTGTAAGAATGATAGAACAAGCAGAGTTGCATGATCTGGTTTGCATCTAAAATACAACGAACACCGAGGACCAAAAAACCTCCTTTCAATGTAAAATCCTCATCACATGGGATCGAATTGTAGTCAAGAAAACTACATAACAATAAATTGTGGTGTTGCAATTTGTCTCACTTAAAATTAAGGGTCAGTAATGCCATGGAAGTCTTAACAACAGACTAAGCAGAACCTTCTTTACCTGCTCTTTACACAAAGATGGAAGAAGAACATAACCTAACAAATAATTGTAAAAATGGAATAAAAGAACTGGAGATGCATAACAAATAACACAGCCTGAATATGATTCACTTTAAACAGACCACTAGCTACTTCTCTACAGCGGAGCACATTTTTCTGCAAGGAGCAGACAGCCAGACAACAAAGTACCGCATCATAACCCAAGGAAGGCGCATTGCTTTCTTGCATGCTCTGGGATCAACTTGACAAGCATCTCAAGGGGCACTCCTTTAAGCTCTGAACAGAGTAGATAGACATCAAGAACAGTTATTAACAGGAACTTCAACGGAATAATGAAAGAACATTAAGAATTGGTCATACCATGAGGCTTAAAATTGAACAGTGGTGGAAGGAAGCGTCCACTTGGCAAACGGGTGTTAGGATCACGCAGCTCATCAAAGAAAGGATGGATCAAAGCCTCCAGCTGCAATGCAAAATAAATTATAAGAATAAATAAATGAAACCAAAAGCATTACCAACAAAAAAAGGCAGCCACAAAACGAAAGCATACAGCTAAAACCTGAAGAGGCCCATTCATTCATTCAATCAATGCTACATTGCACATACAATAGAAAGCTCAACTACAAGTCTACAAGGTAAATGCCCAATTGGGGTTCCCCATTTCCCTAATATTCTGTCTGAAAATTAGTACATCTAAAGTGGTATTCCCTCTGAGGACACATAAGCCGGATCTGATTCATCTCTTAAATGGTACAACTGACAAAGCGATGCATTAAGTGCCTGGAATGACTTCAAAATACAAAGAGCGGACACACATGGAGAGTATCTTTTGTACAAGGAAACAACAATTTATGATCAGAAAATACAGCAGAGTAGGTAATGCAGAAAGATACGCACTTCAAAGAATAATTTTTCATTTGATCTTGCTGTGCAAAACAAAGAAAATAAATAACAATATTCAAAGGATCTCGCTAGAATTTTATACTCACAGCTGTGCTTCGGAGGTTCGGAGAATACTGTAATAGTCTGGAGACAAGGTCCACAGCTTCAGGGGGCGTGCGCTTGTGGAATATCTGTCAATCATATGCAGGCATATAGGTGAATAATTCATGTTATTTGTACATGCTTATTTTTTAGAGACAAGGCAGAAGTGATTTTTGCTGGTACCTTGTGCCACGGGTGAGCTTTAATTTGAGGAAATTTGAACTCTGTGTAATTAGGATTCATGCACTTAATTTCCTCCCTTGTTGGGGTACCCAAAACCTGCATGAGAATACATAAATCACATGGGAGAAAAGAGACTACAATGGAGAAAAGAGCTAGAAATTTCCAATCTCAGCAACATAACCCAAAATGATCCCTCTAAATTCAATATAAATGTGACAATACATATTCAAAACCTCGCCACTTCACCCATTGTTCAGGATGGGAATAGGCTCATAGGATTAGGAATTGTAAGGAACATCCCACTTTTCATGACATCTATAATCAAGTGATGAACTGAAAGTGAATGTTTTCTTTATACAGACCAATCTAGCACTTTTTTCTGTGAGAAGCATAGTTCCAAGCCTTCCTTCCTGATCCCTCCTCCCCTCCCGCCCCAAAAGTTCTTTTTCTTTATTTTCATGCCATTACACTTTTTATCAAGGTATTGTATAGGAAACAATTATTACCTTTATAATTTCAACCAGCTGGTCTACTCCACTCTCACCCGGAAAGAGAGGCTGTCATCAACAGAAATATTGGTGTCACTTGTATAATTTAGTAACAAAACATACAGGAAGAAAACCTTGTAAAAAACAAAACTACCTACCTGTCCAAGCAGTAATTCAGCCAGAACACAACCCGCGGACCAGATGTCAATGGCAGAGGTGTACTCAGTTGCACCAAAAATAAGTTCAGGTGCTCGATAGTACCTGGAACATATGTAAGATATGTTTGGTTCTCCTTTAACCTGTCAAAACAACCAAAATTAGAATGATTTACATTATGTGAATTGTAACTCAAAATTATGACATAATTCCAGAATAGGAAAATACAAACCAAAACTTTTGCACTTCCAAAGTCACATAGTTTCACTTGGTGTGTATGTGGGTTCACCTGTTCCAAATAAATACAGCAGATTCACAATTAGAGAAAGTAATATTGCAAGTACATAAAAAAAAGACAACAAAGTAGGATTGACATATCAAAAAAACAATACTAAAATTTTGTATTAAAAGCACATTTATTAGTTTGCTGCACAAACATTCAACATTGGAGGTCCTACTCCAAGTAAGACAAAAATCAAGTACCCTTGTTAACATACCAATAAGTTTTGAGGCTTTATGTCTCTATGGCACACTCCAATACTATTGTGAATGTAAGCAAGAGCTCTACAAATCTGTCCATTAGTAAGGAAAAAAGGTCAAATAAGAGCCATAAGTTAATGAAATTGCATCCGTTGAACCTCATATGAAATAACCTATATCTAACGAATAACAAGCACATCTCAGATAGGAAAGAAAGCACATATACAACTCATACCTGATAAAAGTAAAGTTTGACATATATCAAAGGCATCCTTTGACTCATCTTATAGTAGTGTTTGATTACACGATGGATGGTCTCAGGGACATACTCAAGTACCAGGTTAAGATAGAGTTCATCTTTTTCAGTTGTTGAGAAGAAACAGTGTTTCAAAGACACTACATTAGGGTGGTCTAAAAGACGCATGGTTTGCAGCTCCCGGTTCTTGTACCTTTTATCTTGCAGAACCTTTTTAATAGCAACAGTTTCGCCAGTCTCTAAACATTTAGCCTGAACCAACACCACAGCAGAAAAGAAAATTTAGTTTCGCCAGTCTCTAAACATTTAGCCTGAACCAACACCACAGCAGAAAAGAAAATTTAGTGCCTCATCCAAATATAAATCCAAACACATGTGAGAATCAACCAGCTAAAAGCATGCAGATCAGCATTATATCTAGACAACAACTTACCTGGAACACCACTCCAAAAGATCCGTGCCCAACAACTCGTTCAGCCATATAGCTTATTGTCTGCATTCATCAGGGAGAAAATTATATCATATAAAAACAACATAAGAATCTATTTGACCAACAGGCTAACATTTAAGGATAATAACCTGCTTTGGCTGGCCATTTTTTCCACCAATTGTTGTGACAATTATATGACCTGTCTCGGTTCCATTACCGTCAACCACAGTTGCTTCCATTTCCTGAAAAATCATTAGACATTTTCCTTCCAAGTAAATAATATTGCAACCAAGCAATCAACAAGTGGTGGGTGATGAACATGAAGGCAATCTCAGTTTAGTGGAGATGGCAGCTTGTGTACCTTGTCATCCCTAATTCTCATGTCATTCATCTCGTCAGGCAACTTATCAACACCAGTTGAGTTTCTATTTCTATCTCGCAATCCAGGAGCAGGGACAACACTTACAGAAGCCATTCTCTCGAAAAAAGAAAGAAATAAAGAAGATCCTCTTAGGAATTCACCTTGCCAACTCAATCAAGATTCTGCAACTTACCTGTGTATAAGACTTATCAAGGTTAGCTGTTTCATGTAAAAGAAAGGGAGCATGTCATCAATGCATAAGCAAAATCTGGGTCCCTTTTGATACAAGGGCAGTTGCCGAGCTAATATAGGATGATTTTTACACACCAACAATCTTAACAAGGAAAAATGATAAAAACAAAGTGTAAAGAGCCATCCAGGCAAACTGCCTGTATTACAGAACGTAGAAATGCATTCTACTTCAATTCATGTGATGTGTTGTTACTAAGACCTTGGTTAGATCATGAAGAGTTGATTAAAAAAATGCCATGTGCAACCAAATCATCTGTTATTAAACAGATAGATTTGAAGATCAATTAAACTTTGCATGAGAGATGCTTTTAAAGGTTAAGAGATTAATAGATTCGACATAGAAATCAATGGCCACACTCCACTGGACAAGCAGTTGCAAGCTAGGCTCCTATCAGCACTAAAGCAAACAGCCAAACACTAATTTCATGCAGTACTAAAATGCTGAAAAGGGCAAGGCAAGGTCAAAGATGTTTAATTTCTTTCACCATACACACTTATCATTAATCTCAGACATGTTTGGTCAGTTATTTCTCATCTCTCTATAAACCCCTACAAACCAAAGGCATAAGAGAGAGCAAGATAAGTTTCACTAAGATGGGTTTTTCTTGTCTGGGCAGCCAACACTGAAGTTAGCTTGAAATGGGATTTATTAGCTTTTTATTTCTCTTTTTTCCTGTTAAGCACCATTAAAACACATTTTGAGTAGAGGCAAAGCAAAGCCAAGGGAAAAAAAAAGTTAACTGAGAGGAAAATGAAGATCGACAAAACTCCCAAATTTTTGCGTAGTTATCACAAGACCAAAAAAGAAAAAGAGCATAACTAGTAGTAGCAAAAGGAATGAAAAACCATAAAAGCAAAGATCTTTCCTGATGCACACACAGATCAAACAAAAGCAACAACGAAACTAACCTGATCTATAAACTAAAAACACAAAGATTAACTTCTTAAAAAGAGAGAGAGGAGGGGGGGAGAACCCACTTGAAAAAAAAATCCATCAAAAATAAAAATCAGCATGGTGGAAAGGGAGAAACTTACTCAAGACTCGGAGATCAGGTCAAGAAATGGGATTGCAGGACGAGGCAAAATCATGACAGGAT